TTATTATTATTATTATTAAGCGTAATATGTTTGAGATTATTATTGTTGCAAACCTATCGTCACGCAGTGCAATAAAATAACAATATGTGTTAATCTTACTAGGTCCTCAATACCGCCAAACTGATAGAGAGCAATCTGTTAATATGAATGTATCATACTCGATAAAAGAAAGTTTTCAAATGATTTCGGGGAAACAACTACTCTGAGGACTAATATTCTGACCATCACTGAATTATACCGGCAATATCTAGAACACAGCCAACAACCGACCAGTTTGTCTATGACAAACTGGCAGATGGCGACTAATACGAATGATGTTAGCAGTTATTTAGATATTGCGGGTATAACACAAAGTTGGACGGAGCATTAATCCACAGAGTAGTTGTTTCCCACAATATCACGTTAAATCAAATCTTATATCGCTACAAAGCGATGCACAAGAAAAAAAGTTCAATTACAAAAGGAATTGTCTAGAAAATTATGAGAGATAAAAATAATGTATGCTTCTTGGCTCAGATTTTTGAGAAAAAACTAATGAGGCAAACCTCTTTTTACTAACGAAAAACAATGAAAACTGAAGATATTTTCAATACAGATTGGCAAAGAAGAGAAAATTGTAAGCTCATCCATTTTTAAGTTTTAGATAAAAATTGTCCTCAAATTCCATCGAATTGAGTCAATACCGTACTTACAGGGTGTTACAAAAAGGCCAAAGCTATTAACCACAAACACTTTGGGTGAAAATAGTGGGTATTCAAGATACAATTATTTAAAATTACGATTAAATTTTTTTTTATAAAGTATATTTTTTTAAATGAAATTTCTTAACTAATTTTTCTGTAACACATCTGTAGAATACTTCATTTTCACTATTTTAAAAAATTACTTACATATGCGCTCTAAATTCCATGCGTGAAAATTATTGTTCTTTTGGTTGCAGATTTAACCTGAAACAAAGAAACAAACGCTTAGTTTATATTTCAAATCTTCGCTTGAATATTTTTACACATAAAATATGTACAGCAGAGTATCGGCAGTCTTGAGTGCTCATTATATTGTACTAATCGATTTATCTCCGTTCATTTGTGAATAATACCCTATCGAATGATCGAGGACAGAGAACTGCGCCCGAAATGTCAGGGAGGCATTTAAAAAACAAAGGACTAAAGGACCTTCGTCGTTCTGCCCGTCACCACGTGCCATTGTCTATAACTCGCGAAATGTAAATTTATTGGATTTGGCTCGAATTAGGAAAGATAAAAGTGAAAAGAAATGTTTAATAACATTTTCGTTATCTATTCACAATTTGCTTTGGAGCTTTTAGCAGGGACATAATTCAATTTTAAATATTTTAATCTGAGTACTTTCGCTCGTTGTAACGAATGTCAAGTGATTCATATTTCAGGATTTCAGGGACCTAACAAAAATGACTTTATGCGCTCGACAAAACAAATCAGTAGTAAATAATTGTAGTTAGTACAGGGTATTATCTAAGTACATATAATAACTTCAAGAATCATTTTAAATTAAAAAATTTTAATGAATTAAGTCTAAGGTCATTGGTTTTTGAAAGACAGTGTTAACATTTTTAAAACAATATCCGATTTATTCAAGTGGATGATTAAACATTGGACATTTATATAATTAAATAAGTATAGAGAAAATATCCCTGAATTGGTACACAGGATGATCCTTCCAATAATATTATAGGGCGTGATTCCTCAAAAAAAGTCCACATGAACATATGAAATAAGTGGAAAAATATTTTGCCTATACAGCAGTAACCAGAAGACATAACTTATTGAAATTTAGTAATTATATAGCAGAAGTACTTAAATACATATTCCTAAAGGAAGTAATCTAGTGGATTTGAGTCCGGTAACCTAGGGGGTCATATTTTGTAACGTTGAAACAAGCCTTGGCTTATCCGTCTGTTCAGATATTTCCGATTTATTAAATTGAAATGCATACTCAGTCATGCATAAACAACAAACGGCATCGCTAATTAAGTGATACACCATTGAGAAGGACCGGCAGTTATTCTCAATAATGGCACGGTATGTATTACCATCTCATCTTAATAGAAGAAATGGTGCAATAAGGTCATCTCCAGTAATACTCGTCCCAACGTTTAATGAAAACTGATGTTGATAACTAATTTCTCTTGTCGGGTGAGGATTTCCATATTCCTATTTATAATTCGTGTGCAATGGGGTTGCAGACTATTCGGTATAAATAATAGGATTTGTAGATTTTTTTAAAGTAGTACCCATTGATAGAGAGCAAGTCCCAGTAGAGCTCGTGCACTATCTGAATCAGTAAATAAAATAATAATATCTCTACTCCTCATTCTAACCACGAGAATTAGCCCAGAAGTCGGAGACTGTGCGGGAGAGGAGGCGGCATATTATTATTACGCAGGCCGCATTTGCGCCCAGGAATGACTTATGTTAGTAGGCCCTAACCACCATTCAGTGCAGGAATGAGGGAAACCTGTAAAACCTCATTAATTATGGGGGTGGTCAAATGCCAACCGGTGTCAATCTCTCACATTGGCCCAAGCCAACATTCTTCCACCCTACCATACCTGCACAGAGAGTGCCAATCCTCCGTACAAGCATAGCTAATCTACGGTCTACCGACCGCGGGATTCGAAACCCGGGCAGATCGACACATCGATTTAAGTACTGACGCCTTAAACCGTGCGGCTATCGACCGGATAAAGATCAGTAAATAAAAGAACACTATTTTAAAACATTGCCAACGTTTCGGTGTTATTTTGCACCATCCTCAGGGCTTGGATTGGTGTAAAATAACACCGAAATGTTGGCAATGATTTAAAATATAGTGTTCTTTTATTTACTGATCTTTATCCCACTAAAACCTTGACTTGCATAACTAATCAAGATCGCTAAACAATGGAAACATAAATACTATCCTTAACGATTTATTTATAGCTGTTATTTTTTAAGTAATTTGTTAGGAAAATACTAGTTTCTTTGAATATATCATAAAGATTTGCCTTTAAAACTGAAAAAAAAAAGATCAGTATCACTATATTTTGACCCCTCCATTAACTTTTGTTTTTAGAGTTATTAAAAAATGTGAAATACAAAAGTTGAACGACTTTTTAAATAAAAATGTTAATGGGGGGGGGGTCAAAATATAGTGAATCACCCTGTACGTATACCGTGATCTTTATCTAAGCCCATTGTGTTATAAAAAGTTATTTATTTGACTAGAAATGCAGGTTTCTAGAAACTACTGTAGTGAACTCCACCACAGAACGACTATATGGTATATGCACGACGGAGTTCCCCCTCATTAGACTGCTAATGTTTGAGCGTTTTTAAATCAACTCTATCCAAACAGATGGATCAGTAGGGTTAACAATGCTCCAGTAAATTGGCCGCCGCACTCACCAGATATGACCCTGATGGCTTATTTCTTCTGGGCAACCCTAAAAGAAGTGGTCTATTCGATACTCGTCGATACTAGAGATGATCTGTGGCAAACAATTCCACATAATACAAATGTCATTAGAAATAATATAATCCACAAATCTTACAAAGGGTACAGTTTAATTTTTTGCATAGAATTAATCTCTGCAGGCATGTAGGTACTAGAGATTTTGAACCTCTTTTAAGACAGGTCAATAATAATTAGTTATTTTTTAGATTTTTAGATTGTTTAGATTCGTTACATTGTGTTAGATTGATTAGATTGTTTTTAGAAAATATGTTTTTTTCTCTGTCAATTCTGTTTGTAGTAAAATTGTTAAATAATAATCGAAATTTTAAATTGTAATTGCATTGTTTCCTTTAAAGACATATTTCTTGCTAATAAACGATTGCTCCTAATTTCGTTTATCAGTGGAGTTGAAAATGACTTTTAAACAAAGTTTTTTTTATACATTTACAAAATTAAATGCTTTTTTGTTGAAAACGGTTAGCTTTGGATAAATTAGCAAGGTATGCATTTTTTAAGCACAAAAGTTGGGGAAAAAAATTTCTCCAGTTCAGTGAAATACACCGTGGCACAAAAAAATTTTGGCAGTTTATATGCGTCTTAATGGTCGCCTGTGGTGCCCTCTAGAAGATACAACGAAATCGTCGATAAATTCAAATTTCTTATCCCAAAAAAACCCCGGATACGAAATTTGACGAAATTACTTCCAAGTAGTAAAAATATATTAAAGAAAATGTTATTTTTTTAAACTTTGACACCGTGTATCTCCGTTATTATCAATTTTTGGATTAAGGCAAGTTTAGTTAAATCTACTTATTTTGAGCCGTACTGGTGGAGCGTTGTACAGACCCTTTAGAGGCACCCTGTATAGGCAAATATTTATTCTTTTTTCTATGGAAATTTGTGAACCAGCAGAGGAGACACTAGAACCTCCATTAAGAATCCTATAACTTTGATGCCACTATGTATAATAATACAATAATGTTATTTTCAAGAAACTAATGGAAGTTTTGGAAACAGGATACATTGACATACGATTACAACAGAGAGATTTTGTTGTCAAGTAAACATTTATATGCTAAATGGTGTACATAATAAATACACTCTTTTTATTGTTTCTGTTCAGCGTTATACTTGTTCTCCAGTTGCAGATACTTATTTATATTTGCTTTGGAATTACTTTAGTGGGGGATTTCAGGATCTAATTAAAAAATAATACACATTTTCCTTTGCACTTATGCAGAAATAACTCAGAATTTAAAGCAAATCAGAAGCAAAACTTGAAAAAAAACTCAGTGTCTGAATTAAAAAAAATAATAATTAATTAAATATATTGTTCAGTAATATACCTACCTAGTGACTGAATTTACTGACAAACAATAAAGTAAGAGCAACGTGGAGTTGAATTTGATCACATAGTATATAGCTTCACACTTTTTTTTATTAAAAATATAATCGTGTATCCTATATTGCGTTTTCAACACCAAGTCACCGGTTACTAAAATATCACCACCAATAGTTCCATTGCGAAGTCTATTCTCTTATTTTTCCAGGATGTTTCAAATATGTGGCGTCGTCACGTGCGGCATTAAAAATAAATGTTCAAACAAGCGTTTACAAAACTAAAAAGAAAATCGGAACCGGTTTATAACTGAACCATAAATATTTGTCCTGAAAAATATATATCTCATCGGGTTTATTTCTTTTGGGATTACAAAAACACACGAAAATCACTACTACATCACAACAATAATAAAAATAAAAATATCCAACGCGCAATGACCTCACCGAACAATATTCTGTGCATATTTTCCTAACATCGCGTCCAGTCGAAAATTCCCAACAGTTACAGCCTCACACCGTTACGTCACTTGGACGCCGGCCAAAACGACTATGAATGGTGGAAAATTAGGGTACTATATAAATTTGGTGCAAAAATCCCGATAGTACAAAGTGCTAAATCTCCACTTTTTCTCCTCTTCATATACACTGCAATGCGATTACTGAGCTTTTCTAATACAAACTGTTGGATGGTTGCGAAAACTACATTAGCATTATACAGGGTGTGTCTGAAATAAGTCCGTTCCTTGAAAACGGTGATGGAGGGCGCGAAAATGAGCAACTTTTAATAAGCAACTGATGATCTAAATGCTTCTGTTTTCGAGAAAATTAATTAAGAAAATTAACCATAAATATAAGCCAACCCTGTGCACCTTGTGCACGTGCATTGTGTGTTGCAGTTTTACTTAGCCGGCGTATAAAATGTTTTCTGATCAAGATATGGTTTTAATCAGTACTAGGCCTGTGCGATTCGCGAAATAACGAATCGATTTTCGATTAATCAAAAAATCGATTTGCATCGATTAATTCTGTGCTCGATATATCGATTCCAATTGATTTGTATTTTTTAGTTGATCCATCGGAAAAATCAAATCGAAATAGCGATAGCGGATCAATTCGAATCGAACTAAATT